AAGGTACAGGTTGTCTGCAATAACCACAAGGCTAAGTAAAAAGTAAAAAGACCGATCGTAATGAATACTTTGAAATTCAGACACAAATGGAAACATGATATGACTTGCTCTCCATTAAGGATTAAAAGAAGCCCTAGAACTGAAACAGCTTCAAACAATTCCACAGTTTGGCAGAGACATGCATAGARTAAGAACAAGTCATTTTAACCAGTAAAGGTAATGAATGTCTACCGGCGACTACATGGAGTAGGGAATGACGCATCATGCACCTGGGGGGCCCTTTTTTGTAAGAGTAGCCTGGTTATCATCCACTCTCATAACCGAGTCAACTCCCGTTTGTCTTTTTTCACTGAAATGGGAAAGCAAAATCATATCAGAATTTGATCGGTTATGATAAATCTCAAGGACCCTTTCTGAGATCTATTATTAGATCTATTATATAAGCGCACCGTAACCGTACTACCTAAAAAGGGAAGGCGGTGGCCAGTACCTAAACTTGGTATTTCAAGAATCAAAATTTATAAATGCACAAGAATTAAAATCTACTTCCTTTAGAAAGTGTAATTTTTTCAGTTTCATTGATCATTTTTTTTCATACCTTTTTTGGTTAAGCATCATTGTTTTTTCTCAAGTGATATTCTTAGGGTTTCAGTTTTATCTCCATCGATGACGACTGTTGCGTTTTCATATTGTATTTTTCGTACATTTTTCTTAATTTCTTTTTGACTCCTATAAGGCTTTGGATACACCCCCGGTTTAGGTTTCATACTTGCTGCTCTAGTGACAATGCTGCTGTTTTGTTGGTTTACATCTACACCTAGATTCGCAATCTTTGACCCCGGCTGACTCCTCAATGTTTTAACCCGTTTGACCTGTTTTGTTGACTGTGTGGCTATGTCTTCCAATGACCGAGCCTGTGATACACAAACCCTGTCAGCAGGCTCTTCTATTGGATTACTCAAAGATGGAATAACCAGACCCTGTCGCTTTGTTCTATTTTTAGATCGGTCTTCTTTGACGTCACAACCGGAAGAAAGACTTGAAAGTGAAGTCTTGGAAGAACAGGTTGCTTTGTTAAGAGAAGCGTATTCTCGTTCATGTTGCGGTCGCACAGAGGTCAGCATCTTATACTCTCTATCGTTATTCTTGTTGGTGTTTTTTGGTGTTTTCTTTAACATGACTGGGATTGTTTCATAGTCGTCTTTATCTGTGTTTCTTTTTATACGTCTTGACGACGTTTTCGCTGATATTTCTTCGTACCTATGATATGATTTAATAAAAAATCATTTTTAAAGAAAGATTTGCTTGTTAATAATGGACTTCGCCTACGCCTAAAAGAAATAGATTCAATTCACTATAAAAAATAATAATATATTACTTAGCTTACCCCTCTTCTTCTTCTTGGCTGGCATTATTAGCGGATGATCCTAAAACAATGAAACTTTAGTCAGAAAGCAGCTTGCTTACAGACTCTCCCCTCCCCCCTCAGGGCAGTTACCATTTCATGCTTGCAGTTCTAAGGGAACATATCCTGATAGGACGAAAGGGACAACCTACGTAGGAAGTTGATGTCATGTATTCATAAAATTACTGAATCACATCTAGTACAAGGGATAGGACGACAATAGAGTGATACCTAACAGTAGATTTTCTGTACATCAACTTAGTGCTATGTAAGTTTTCCCTAGTACAAAAGATATTACTGTGTAATCATCTTAAAGATGCGTGCGCACCCTAAATTTAGGAGTTAAATTTAAATACATTTTTTCTATTTCATTGTTCTTACTCAGTTGACGCCAGCGAATGCACATCACCAAGACAACCACTACTGCAACAAGTAAAGCAATGCCGAATACAACAGGCATGAACCATACCGACATCCTTTGACCGCTTTGGTTCGTCATTTGGTTACTGGAGTTTTGCGTCTGGAAGGAATTATAAGTCATGAGTTATGAAAGGGAAACGTTTGAAAACGTTTTACTATGTCTTTCGGTATTGGAAATACATTTTTTTTTTTCTGAATTGAGAACAAACAATGGGCTTCAGGTAATAAACAAATATGTTGGCTCATCGTCAAGAAGGTAAAAGAGGTGCTAATATGCGACAGATTTTTTTTTTTTCTTTTTTTTCCCCCCCCCCCCCTCCTCCGTTGTTGTTGCTGTCGTTGTTAATTTTCCTACTATTAGAGTTTTATCAAATCATGGCCTTATTTAAAGATGGCAACGAAAGTGCCATCCAACGAACTTTTTTTCTTAATCCTTTAAAAAAGAAAAAAGAAAAAGAAAAAGATAAGAGTACACAAGAACCTACTTTGCATACAGTTATAGAATCAAAATACACGCGTTAATTGTATTTTGGTGCGATGCCACTTAAAGAATACTTATAATATATACTTAATAACATTCAAAGTTTGAAGGACATTTTAAAGACATTTGTCAGGTTTTAGTGTAACTTACCGTTATCCAATCCATTTTTGTAACATTTCTGTATCATTCTTCCATTGCTAATCCGTGTTACAATAGCATTGTGACCGCAGGCAGCAGCTCGTCACGTAATATATGCCCAACCGCCTTGTGGTTTCTCTTATTGTTTCAATATCAACAGCAAAGCAAATTGTGAAACAACAAACGAAAACCCACGTCAGTGTAGTGGCTCCACAGTTTCCATTTCTGTCACGATACCACATAATTTTAGCCAAGAATTTCTCTTTTTCAAACTTCTTTTTTATCACGGATTCATAGGCTGTGGTTGCTAATACTTCAAAATACTTTTCCACACCCACGAACCAGTCATGACAATTTTCTTCCGCAGGGCAAGTATTTCCGCCATAGCAATACTGTTGACAAGTTGGCCTACTGAGGTTGTGTGTCAGGGTGAGTAGTGTAAGATTACCAACAATATCACTAGAATGACACAAGCATTGATATATAAACGTATTACCGTTATATGTATCAATACAATCATTCTGAGCAAGATTCTCTAGGTTATATATGCTATGAATTCATTACCAGGAAACTCAAAGTTTTAGTTGATACAGACCCGTTAGGAATGGTTGATGGGGCCCGTTCAAGGTGTGACTCTAACTTCAAAAATGCTTTCATTAKAAGTTTTAGATTCTTTAGCATTAAAAACCTTTTGAAATAGGACTAAATTTCCTTTGTTTATGACATTTTTCTCCGTATAAGCATATTTTCGTTATTATTTACATAGTTTTTGAGTCAGTTCGACCTTTGCTGCTCATGTCGCTTCACTATTTGTATTTACCTTTCGCATATAGTTATTCTGTATTTATGCTACTAGTCAATTTGTTCATTCTTTTTGTTGCTTTTCAAACGATTCCAATTCAAGATTCTAAAGTAAAGTAAAGTTCTAAAGTAAATTCCATGGTCACTCGAAACTGAAATAGTATATATTTATTCACAGCAGTTTCGATAATTATGCGCTGGCTGCTTGCTAGATCAACGTCTGTGTTTGTTTCTCACGACAATCATGCGTTACTAGTCATAACGTTACCGTGAGCGTGACGTGTCCGTGACGGTGGCGTTTCTATTCTATTTATTGCCTGAACAGTTTTGCAACACAGTGATTGGTTCAATAGATGTAGTGAATTCCGGCTCTAACGTGAAAATGAAGGAGAAAATAATCAGGATATGACTTTACAATGTACTTTGATACACTGGAAGAATCTAACAGAGGTTTCCATGCGCCTTAATATCTCTATATCATACTGTCAGAATCCAGTTATTCGTTATGATGTGAAATATACTATACAACATTTCCTCCCCCCAGGCAATGCCCTCGATTGGCTCACTCAGAAGAAGATCGAGGTCTACTGGGTAGTTGGTTTAGGCGGATTGCTATTGGTTACCATTATTGGATGCATCTTGTGCCTGTGGTGCTCAAGGCGCAGAAGAGGAAAAGGTCAGTCATGTTTTAAGTCATGTGATCCTTGCATCAACTTAATGTTGTTACCATGGTAACCAAGTTACTGGTAGCCATAGTAACCATATGGTAATATTATTAGGATACGAATGTTTTCCTAACATCAGTGTAACATATTGTAACCAAGGCAACGAGTAATAAAAGAGTTTTTGAAAAAGAAAGAGAAAGAGAAAAATAGAGAATAAACCTGCATATTAGAAGATTTATTAGTAATATTTTTATTTTGAAAATTTTTTTTTTCTTCATTTTTTCAGATTTCTTCACTAAAGACGCAAGAGAAGAGTAAGTCGTTTCATCGTTCAAGGACAGATCACTACTAACATCAGTAACATATTTTATCGTTAACTTATTATTTTTTTAGTCCCTGTGACGATAACAGCTGGGAGATGATAACTTCATCGACAAAGGAATCAAAAAAGGCGGACTCGAAGGAACAAGACAGCGACAATGTTACAGTGATCAAGATCAGTGTACAGAATACTACCAACGAGAAAGATGAGGAGAAATTCAGGGAAGCTACAGCTGACCTCGTGGTAGAACCACGTGATGAGCAACACAAGCACCAGACTCAGCCTGATGCTGTATGTACAGGCAATGAAATAAAAAATGAAGGTACTATAAACAAGTATAGATCAATATAGATCGCTTGATAATAGCATAAGCAATAAACAGCTGCTAGAGGGTTTCATATGTTGGCACATTTTACAATATTTTAAACAAAAATCTAATGACTTTACCTAACTGTGTATAGACTATATTAAGCCAGACAATACTACGATATACCATAGACTAAAAACACCCATGTCATTCATACAGCAAGATTTGATTAAGAGGTTCGATTAAACGTGAACAACTAAGTCGTCACGTGATCTTGTCCTATTTTTAGGTTATTTATAAAGAAAGTTACTTAAATAGCTAGGATACCTTATAAGGATCGAATTTCCTAATTTGGTCAGAACAAGGTGTTCTCGGTGTCACTTGATCACATTGATATTATGTGTTGTGACTCTATCTGAAGGTTTTTAATGAAACCAGAAGGTTGTTAATGAAACCATTTAGTAGAAAGGATGTTTAGTAGGTAAGAAGTACTGTCTACTCAGACACAAGTTCCTTGGTTCCGCCGGCCTTTGGTCAGTTTAGTAATAGAGCTATTGAGAGAGAACTTTATTATAGCTTACAAAGAAAAGCCGCACTGATGTCATCATCATCATCAGTCATCATCCACGAGTAAAAAAAATTACCATTATCAAAAGCATCATCTGTGAGTGCCTATGTTGGTGTTTCATTTCATGCATTCGTTACCAACAGTGTTATCATCAGTATATTCATCCTCATCATCGTCTGTGACCATCGTTACTATCATCTAAATTATTATCAGTGAGTGCCAATGTCGTTATCATCATCATGTAAAAAATTAACGTCATCATGATCAATGAGCACTGCTTTCTCGTGACTCATTCATTGATACACAACTTTTACCATCAGAGAAATAACTGCTATTTTCTACTGTTATCATTGATAGAAAACAAATCTAGTATGCCTAGCCCAACTACCACGAAAGCCCAAAAGAACGTTCCCAATACGCCTAATAAGAACTCGATTGATGGTACGATGGACATGAAGTATAATGAAATGGAAGGAGCTAAAGATGGCTCTCAAAAGAAAGACAGCAACCAACCGCATGCTGAGCCGCTGTACGCCGAGGTGAACAAGGCAAAAAAGGTTCGTTTGAGAATCAAGGGTGGTGTAGAGGTAGTTAACTCGCCATTCACCTATGGGGTATAGTTCGTGGATTCGGTTTCTAAATCTAACACTGTATGCCTGGTACAGGCTATTGACTCGAGGGTTTTTCTCACATCAATAATAATATTATATCCAAGGAGCTCACATTAGTTTCGTTTTTTTTAGTGACGCAATGCGAATTAATGCTTGGCGCCAAATAAATGGGAAAAGCCAAATATTATCAAAGTTTTCTAATGTAACATTCCTGTTTTCTTCCTTCAAAGAAAAAAGTGAAAAGTGGCTACAATATTGTGTATGCTGAACTTGCTGACTTTGACAAAAACAGGAGTGATCAAAACAACCAGCAAAGAAACAACCCATCCTCAGCGGAATACGCTGAAATAGCAAGACTTACAAAATCACCTAGAGATATGAGTCCACTAGATGAATAGCAGCACTGACGGGCGCATAGATGCGTGTGTGTTACGCAACAAGACTTTCACCTTAATAGAAGCAGATTATTACTTTGTAGAAAGATTGACGCCTATTATGAGCTGATAAATGTGTGTCTTTACAAATCATTACAGTTATTTTAAACAGGTTTCTGAGAAAAAAAGAATTGAAATTTTCCAAGACAGAAAGGAACTATGGATACCCACCTTATAGACAAATAATGCAGCAACAGCAATAGCAACAGCAGTAGAGAAGCTGCAACAAACAGTAGCATCAGTAGCATCAGCGACAACACCAACACCAACACCAACAACAGCAGCAGCAAGAGAAAAAAACAAAAACAACAGCAGCAGCAACAACAACAACAACATTAAAAACAGTGAAAATAAAAGCGAAAATATCGACAACAGCATCAAC